GCAGAGCGGCCGCGCTGCTGCGCGCGGCCCCGCGCAGCGCCCGGGGACCCGCATCCCGTATTCGCGCTCCCGCTTTGCCTCCCCGTAGAGCTCATTCGCCTTCAGGCCCGTGGTTCTCCCTTAGCGCAACCATCCCACAGTGCATTTCCACCTCCCGTGCCCTTTCCGCGGGGAAAGGCGGGCCGGGAGCGCGCAGGGGAGCGCGGGGACGCGCACGGGCTCCCCGCGGAGCCCCCCCAAGACCTTATCAATACAGACCCCTAACGAGGGCGCGCTGCGGCTCGTAATGACTCCGCCAAGTTGCTGCGGGTCTGGAGAACATGTCAGGCACAGCCGCAGATCAATCCCACACCCACAGAAAGCGGCTTAATAAACGGAGCCTCGCCAGTTATTATCCTTGCTAACAGCAGGCCCCTTCTTATTTGTCCTAATTAGCAAGACTGAAATGTCGGAGGAAAGAAGGGGAATATTCAATAAAATCTAAATTATTGAATGACTGTAAGATTTCGCCATTAGTTCAGCCATTCTTTACCTTCTTCAAAATGTCAAACAAATGGGGAATGCATATTTGCAACCCTGCCCTTCTGTTCTGTGCAACTGGAGGGCATATATTAAGCATATTAAGCATATTCAGCTCTTGATTGTTGTCAAAACACTGCAATTGCCTCGCGATTACTAACCCAGGAGTATGCAAATGAGAGGCGCTCGCACGTGTTGTGCCATACTAGAGCAATATTTATCTTGTGCTCATCTAGTCCGGGGATGTGTTTGCTAAGGAGCTACTCGAGGCCCTAAGGATGTCGAACTGAACCTTTAGGGCCCTGGGAAGGCTCAAAGCGACAAACCTCCAACGCAACCGTGGACGAGAGAGCGCGGCAGGAGCTAATCCGGTAACGTGTGAGATGGGAAGAGTTAACTTCCCTTGGGAAATCATCCCGCCCTTCCTTCTGCGCCGTCGCTGCCAGGCTCTGCCTTGCCGGGAATGCTCCTGCATGTCCCGTGCTCTTGGCTCAAGCCCTTTCCCTCAAACCCGCATCCTAAACCTGAGTCATTTTGAGTCTTTGATGACCACTTAGTGCTACACCAGCATCCAAGGAAGGAGCTGGGAGAGGAGCTTCCTACTGCCCCGTCCCACTTCCTCCTCGCTGCTTGCCCCTTGTTTTTTGTTCCTCTCTGTATTCAGCGAGGAGGAAATTACCGTGTCCCGTCCGGAGAAGCTGCTTCCGAAAACCTGCGATTCGCCCTGTAATCCCAACCGAATATAGCTCTCAAACGATACGATTTGAAATAATATCAGCTACTAATATTAGCAATATTGATGAAGGTGTTAATAAAAGCACGCGTGTGTTAAATGCAGTGAGTTAACGGGCGGGTGTAGGCGGCTCTGGCCCTGCCAGGTGCTGACAGCGCTACGGACCTGCAGGGTTTCCCTGGGGGAGGACCCCGCGGGGCCGGCGCCGCCGATCCCATGGCGCATACCCGGTGCCCCGGGGGAGGCCGCGGGCCCGTGGGCCGCCCGAGCTCTGCAGCCTGCACGGGGCTGTGCTCCATTTAGCCGAGGGGAAAGGCCCCATGGCGCTAACGAGCTAATGAGCGTGACCGCCCGCGTTCCGCAGACAGGTCCCCAGAACCGCTGCAGGGGGGCGGGGGTGGGACGGGACTTTCGGCACTGGAGGAGGTTGCAGTACCACCCCCCAAAAGACGATCGGAAATAGATAATTCCCACCCAGACTTCCCACTCTTCTCTTAACTGTCTCCTATTTATTCCTCAGCGCGCTGATAGCCCAAGTACTCTGCAGCATTTCTTTGGGCGCACATACTGAGAAGCTCTTTTCTGCGCCGTAATTTCAGATTTTAGACCCCAGAACACACACGGGAGGCCCCGCGTGGCCCAGGACAGGCGCCAGGACTACGAACTTCTCCGCCAGCTCTGAGGACAAGTTCCGCTTGGCGCTAACGAGGCCAGCGCCCGCAGCGCTGCTTGTCGCGCACCCCGCCAAGAGCCAGCGCGGATATTCCGTGGCACGACGCGAACTTTCTCTGCGCAGTTATATTTAACTTCCACATGAAGCATGTGAAGCCTGAGCGCTCTGGAGCCTTTGGAGATCCCTCATTTCTTCCGTGTCCCCTGCCCGGAAAGCTCCTCGAACTGTTAGCACCAAGATTTGCGGCGGGAGGGACCTTATCTTGCCGGGCAAGATGCTTGAGGGCAACGGGGACAGTTAAGGACAGGGTGAGGATTCCCCTTCCTCCCCACCCCAGCCTGCTGTGACACCGGCTCTATTTTATGCCTCTGAAAGGGAGAATTGACCCTCAGCACAATATTTACTTTATAAAGATGCCTCCGAGGGCCTGCAGGGAGCTGGGGTGAAGACGTGGTTTTCTCGGGAGGGCCCAGCGCAGCTTCCCTGCTCATTATCGATGGAAGGGAAGAGCAGCACCCGCAAGGGACAGCAAATGGGCAAGGGCTGCTGCCCTGGCCGGGTGCCCTAACGGCCCCGGGGGACTCCGGAGCTCCCGAAGCGCCTTAGCCCCCCATACACTACGGGCTAGGAAACCGAGCCCAGGGGAGCTGCTCCTTCCTGGCACGAGGCTCAGACGCTTCGTGCCAGGCAAGAGACCCGCGCCAGCGAGCGACGAAGTCATTTCCTCTTCCTCTCATTGACCGCCCTGCCAGTGTCCTGGCCAGCACAGATTCTTCTCCCAGGAACCGAAGAGCTGGAAACGCCCCCGCCCCGGCCACCGTCTCCTGATATTTTATTGTAATCTCGTTGTGTGAGCGGCAGCACCGTCCCCAAATGGTGTCTCTTGTGCTCCAGGGGGTAGGAGCAATTACTGGCGCTACTGTCTCTCACAATAAATGCGGGAAATTTAAGCAATAAATAGAATGAAAGGGTAATGACCAATTAAACATATTCGGGGAGGGGGAGGAGGGAGGACAGAGCTCTGAGAATCTCCACTTACACATTTTCTTATGTCGTTTTGACCTCCTCCCCTCTCAATCTGCCATAGCAGGTGTTTTAAATGAATAAATATGTGACAACAGAACCAGGTTCACCAAGAGATTGGCTACCAATAATCTGATATTTCCTTCTCCCGCAGTTCGATACTCTGCACGGAAAATTGGTCTTACATCGTTTCCAGGAAGGAAATTAAAACCGATAATAACGACAGCAGCGCTTTTATATCGAATCCAAGGAAAAGAGGGAAGAATGAAATTTGGAGAAGAAATTCCCAAGCACAACTGCCCGCGCGTTAGTGCTGGGGACTCTGAAAATAGGGCGCAGAAGCTTCCACTCCACGCAGGCCCCACCTCGGCAGTAGCTTCCCCAAAACCTTCCCTTTCCCGAATAAGCTAAGAGGATAATAACGTTTTGCAGTGGTTCCCAGAATTGCAAGGACCGTGTTTCATCCTTCCTTCGGGTCCCAATATTTGATGTTTTTCATGACTAGAGCGTGGATTCTGTCCCGGCCGATTAATTTGGCTACCAAAGTAACTCCGTTTTTGTCTCAAAACTGCCTCCGGTCTAAGGTTTGGCTTAGGTTTCACTGAAAAAAAGTATTATAGCTGCCTTTTTTTTTTCCCTCTATAAGTCTGCAGTAGTGAACTCTCTTACACTAATTTTGAAACTCCAAAAGAGAGTTGTATGTCAATGACACAAAACATCCTCTGACTGTAACACTAGAGTGAGATCATGGTGGAAAATTATCAGACAACACGAAAGAATTGGTTCGAAGCTGAAATAAACATCTCTCCCTTTTTTGGGTTGTTGTTGCTTGTTTGAAATCCTTAAATCATCTATTGTAAGAATCATCTAAATATAAGACATTCAATTTATACATGAACGCAACATAATATAAAAACATTCCTGGAATCATATTAGAAACCGATTCCTCTTAGAAGGGAAAGACACAATAGTTGTCTCGAATCTTTATAATCACTTTTTGTTTTTTTTTCTTTCTTTTTTTTTAATCTTGTAGTGAGTTTCAGAGAGCATTCGGAGCATTTGTAACTTAAAATCTTTGCTTCTCGAATATCTCAGCATCATCAGACTCCACTGGATAAATGAATAAATAACTATGCAGCACTTGCAATACTTTCCTCCATGTTCTTTCTCTTTCTTTCTTTGAAGAACGAGAAATGTAGCTCGCTAAAACTCACTTTTTTTCGGGATTTCAAGGCGGGAGGAGGGCTCATGCCACGGCTGCCTGCACTGCGGTTTCTTAACAAATGTTACCCTAACGTGTTGCATCAGCCAAAGCCTGAACTAGCGAACAAGTTTGTGCCTTTCAAAGTGAACTTTTGGCCTGAGAAAAGAAACCCTCGTGGTTCTTCTTAAAGCCTGAGTACCAGTAAATATTCTGACAAGTAACAAATGACTGTGGGCGTCATATTGTTGGGTGCTCTTGTTTCTCCTCTGCTAACAAGTAAATAAATGTTGCCTACCTATGTTTCCATTCTATGAGCGGCGGAGTGGCCGGCCTGAAGTCAGTGTCTTTCCACCTACTCCTCAGCTGGACTCTGCTAGAGGAAAATTACAGTTTTACAATAGATTCAGGAAAAGATCAAGCCAGGTTTGTAACCGAAAAGCAGAGCTTAAGGTCCGAGGATTAGTTAAAGCCCTTAAAAACAGCTCTTGTTTTCAATAGTAAATACATAGCTAGGCGCATGGATGAGCGGATGCATAAAAAGATACATAAGTTGATAGACACAGAGATAATTTTCAGTGTCACTCCTCCTGTTACTGAGCCGTGTATGGTATTTCTGCAACAAAAGACATTCTGTGTTCCTAACTTTATTTCATCACCTCATTAGAATATTGATTTAATTACACTGCTTTTACCCACACAGGCTCTAGACACAAAGCCGGTGTGGCAAAACTAAAACACATGGGGCAGTTTAGTTTTAACTGGGTGTTTTTTTCGTAGATTTCGCAGACCCAAAAACTCCAAACACGTTCAAGCCATTTTATAGACCAGTTTCGAGATGAAGAATTTTTTTTTTTTTTGTGGCTGGCAAAAAAATCTCTGTATATCCTTTTCTGACTTTCTTTCAGATGGAGCTAGGATTGGAGAAAATAACTTTTCAAGTGGGGGAAGGGGAAGTTCTGATGAAATTGGTTGATAGGATAACTTGGGAGCTTTTTTAGCACTTAAAACAGTCGTATATAATTGTAATTCTCCCCCCCGTCCTCCCTTCCCCTCCACCTCCCCGCACCCCACCTCCCTTCTCTCTTTTAAAGTCTTTGAGGAAAGATTTTGACGTATTCGTGTTGTTATCAGATTGATGGGCAGGGTTTGATTGAAACCCCTTTGTCATGCAAATGTCAGGGCCTTGATGGATGAGCTCCGAGATGCGACAAACTTGGGGCGCCCCGCGCTCATTGGGCTCGCCCCGGACCACGTGGCCCCCGCCCCAGCCCCCCAGCCCAAACCCCGCCGAGGGCTGCGGGCCTCGAGCACTAGCGATGCTTGCCAGGAAGTTGTCCAG